ATTCTGATATTATATATATATATATATATATATATATATATATATATATTGTGTGTGTGTGTGTTCCTCTGTATTATAGGCTATTTAGGATGTCTGTAATGCAGCTGTGAAATTAGCAAGACTGAAAAATTCATGAATAATGTTAAAGAAGAAATATTTCAGATTGTGATATTTCAAATCAAATATGTAATTGAGTAAGACAGACTTTTTGGATGTGCATTTATATGTATCCACCTTATTAGCAATGTAGCTACACTGTAAAAAATGACCGTGAATTTAACGGTAAAAGACTGTAAAAATGCTACAGTAACATTACACGTATTGGACATTAATTTCACGGTAGTATACCGTTTTTGGAAGTGAAAAAGATTCCGTAAATTGACATTCCCAGAATTCCCTGCGTTACATTTCAAATTTGATGTTTTTTTGTTGAAATAACTATGTTTCTTCTTAGTTTTTTCTTATCAGTTTTGTATATTAGGGTTGTGTGTTACACCTAATGTTGTTAAATGAATGTTTATTGCATTATTTCAGTTTCATGTGTGTCACCATGATGGTGTTTGGTGTTTGTGTGAATGACGCTGTGCATCTTCTATATATGTTATTATTTAAAAGCTGCTTGTGATGGGCTTTGGTTCATCATGTGACTTTCTCATCACCTCCTGCATTTGGTGGTTATCAGTGTATTACAAAGGTACAAAACAGATTTCAGTACTTCAATAGGTTGGTATATTAACATTATATCAGTTAATGAAATTACGGTATTTAACTGTAAATTTAAGTTAAAACCGTAAAACCTAAAACGTTGCTACCGTATTTTTTACGGTAAAATTCCGGCAACCACAGCTACCGTTTTTTTACTGTAAATTTTACGGATTTTTTTTTACAGTGTAGGCTACTCATTAGAGTCATTAACCACTAATAACTAGAGGAATAAGTGCAGCAAACGACAAAACTATCTGCGATACCAACCAGTGTGTTTATGATTATGATAATGAATTAAATTAACATTATAACACAAACCAGTTTGCAATATCAAGCAGCTTTACGGAGCAACTGTTATTGTACAGGTAAAATAACTGGAAGTGAATGAAACCGGAAACCGCACACATTCAAACTTATGGCAGCACTGCTCTAATTTTAAAATTAAGGTGTATATTGATGTTCTTTATTCATCTCTTTATGTTGGCAGTTGTAGAAGATGTCCTGTGTGAGAGCTGTGAGAGGTCTGGCACCCGTCTGTGGCTTTCAGCCTCTCACTGTTTTATCTCGCGGTGTCAGTTTCTCTCCGCGCCAGGTCGCATCCGATGCCAGTTTTCACTCGGTGTCCTTCTCTGAATCTGATCATCCCAGAGTTCTCATTACCGGTATGAGAGCAGGAGACAAGTGATTGTTTTTGTGATGCACCGTATATTGTGTAAACCTATTTTTAAAGACTGCCTTTTGGATTAAGCTTTGAGGCCTAAATGGATGTTATATAAACCTTTAGATGCCATGTTTCCCTGGTTACCTGAAGCATGAAATGTAGTCTCCATGGCAACACATCACTGATGATGAGATTTAATCATATTTTCTGTCTGTTTTTTATTTCAGGAGGTCTGGGTCAGCTGGGAGTGGGGCTCGCCAAACTGCTCAGGTGAGACTGAAGCGCTTTCAGATGCTTTTAAAGCTTTCACACTGAAGACCCGACCCCTGTGACATTTTAGCCAACCAGATTTCACCATGTGAAAGGCAGACAGGCAGGGGCTGTTTCTGATTGGCTAAAAAAGTGAATCTAAACAGAATCTAGGGTTGTCGCAGTAATATCTGTCAGGTTGTAAGGATATTTCATGCACAGCATTCTAAAAAATATCTTGTTTATTTCCCTTTTCATACAGGAAGCAGTTCGGAAAATATAATGTAATTCTGTCTGATATCAGGAAACCTCCAGCTCATGTTTACCAAAGCGGTGAGTGTTAATATATTCACTATGGTGGGCAGCATCATTGAAACTGAAACATTTTAGTCATATTTCTTCGCATGTAGACATGTAGAGTTTACATGAGAAGAAATATGACTAAAATGTTTCAGTTTCAAAGAGTTTATTAATAATATAGATTGATCTATATTTGGAATTTAAATATATTTTGTTTTTAGAATATTTAATATTATAGATATCTGTAAATGTGAATATTGAAATAAAATATATAATAAAATAAATTACAAAAATAAATAACAATGTTTGTAATATATAAACATTGATATTCCTCTTTCAGTATTTTTAAATTATTGATTTATATATATATTTTAAAAAAATGTTTTATTATTTATATCGATTTTTGGCTCTTAATTGTAAATGCTGACTTCATGTACCTTTATTTATTGAAAACATAAGTGTCAATATATTCACATTTGGGACATTTTAGTCAATTCTTCTCCAAGAGCGATGTATGCACATGTATGAGTTTATAAATATATACTGATCTATATTTTGAATTTAAATATATTGTATTTTTAGAATACATATTAACGTATGTATATGTTAATTAATATTTAAAATATATAATACAAATTACAAAAATTAATAAAAATGCTTAAAATATATACAAATAGTATTATTTGACATTTTTTATTATTTATATTAATTTTTGTAATTTAATTGTAAATGTTTACTTATTCTATTCAATTGTGGTGTGAAATTTTTGTCGGAATTCTCCAAAAATGTTGTATGTAGGCTACATGTATATGAAACTATGTACGTGAGTTTAATATTATAGTTATATTATATATTGATCTATATTTAAAATTTGAATGTATTTTACTTTAGAATATTTTTATACTATTATATATATGCAAATATACACACACAATACAAATGTTAATGTTAATCATTTGTATGCATATTATTTATTTTTAATTGTATTTATTTATTCTTTTAATTTATATTGATTTTGGACTATTACATTTTCACCTTAGGTCCCTTTATATATTCTGACATTTTGGACTACAAGAACTTGCGTGAGATTGTTGTAAACAACCGCATCTCCTGGTTGATTCACTACAGCGTCCTACTGAGTGCAGTCGGAGAGGCCAATGTGTCCCTCGCTCGTGATGTCAACATCACTGGTTAGTCACCAAGGTCAGTCATTTTCGGTCACTTTTCAGTGGGAAGGTACACTGATGTTTCTTTTCTTCATAGGGTTGCACAACATTCTTGACATCACCGCAGAACATGGGCTCCGTCTCTTCATCCCCAGCACTATTGGAGCCTTTGGCCCCACGTCCCCTCGTGACCCCACCCCCGATCTGTGCATCCAACGACCGCGAACCATTTACGGAGTGTCCAAGGTTCATGCTGAGCTAATGGGAGAGGTCAGTACGCTTTTGAGAGAACACCTGCAAATCCTGAACCTTTGTTGAGATTTTAGTATTAGCAGTATATTAATAATGAAAAGAAATGAGAGTACAGGAAATACATCAACAAATACATAAAACGGTTTCATGAGGTTTGTAGCTTTGTTTTTCTTTATTGTGTATTACAGTATTACCATCACAGGTATGGTCTTGACTTCCGCTGTCTCAGATACCCAGGAATCATTTCTGCAGACTCTCAACCCGGTAGAGGAACTACAGGTAAGCTGAAATAAAATTAGAAATATTACATGAAAACTTAAACAAAAAAAAAAAAAATCAAATTAAAACTTAAATTAGAGAATGTTGCCGTGTTCTTACTGTAAACTAGAACTATTATAAATGTAAATAAAGCTGAAATAAAATAGAAATATTAGAAAATAAAAATGTTTGCCTTGTGTTGTTAGAAACTAAAGCTATTAAAATTAAAAATAAAGCTGAAAATAATAGATTAAAATATTAAACACTTAAACTTATTTATGCTTAAATAAAATAGAAAAAAAGGGTACAAATGTTGCCAAAGCTATTAAAGATTTAAATAAAGCTGAAATAAAATAGAAATATTAGATGAAAAATGTAAACAACTTGAAAGAAAACAGAAATGTAGCCGTGTGTTGTTATTGTAAACTAAAACTATTCAAAAATAAAGCTGAAATAAAACAGAAATATTAGATGAAAAACTTAAAATACTTAAAGGAAAATAAGAAATGTTGCTGTGTTTTTATTGTAAACAAAAAATATCAAACATTTAAATAAAGCTGAAATAAATGAGCAAATATTAGATGAAAAACCTAAACTTAAAAAACTTAAAAGAAAGTGTTGCCTTGACAGCTAACTGAAATAAAAATTGAAATTGAAAATGAAGCACGTAACAAAATGACTAACACTTTAACTAAAATTAAAAATGAAAATATAAAAATACAAGTTAATTCAAAATATTAATAATAATACTAAAATATCTGTGCTAATGCATATGTGTAAACCTTTTGCTTCCATTTATTCTGTCTCTTCTATCAGACTATGCTGTTCAGATCTTCCACGATGCTGTGAAAGCAGGTAGATTTGTGTGCAATCTGAGGCCTGACACGAGACTCCCCATGATGTTCATTGATGATTGTCTGAGAGCCACACTGGAGGTTCTGGAAGCTCCTCCTGAGACACTCGGCATGCGAACGTACAACATCAGCGCCTTGAGCTTCACTCCAGAGGAGCTGGTACAAGAAATCAGGAGGCACCTGCCAGACCTGCAGGTCACCTATGAGATTGACCCAGTTCGACAGGCTATTGGTGAGAGTCTGTTATTCAATTAAAATCTTCTACAAATAACCCAAACTCAATTTAACATCCACCATAGCTTTTAAAGGAATAGTTCACCCAAAAATGAAAATTTTCAGAAAATGTACTCACCCTCAGGCCATCAAATGTAGAGGAGATTTGGTGAAATGTAGCATTCCATCACTTGCTCACCAGTGGATCCTCTGCAGTGAATGGGTGCCGTCAGAATGAGAGTCCAAACAGCTGATAAAAACATCACAATAATCCACAAGTAATCCACACCACTCCAGTCCATCAGTTAACATCTTGTGAAGTGAAAAGCTGTGTGTTTACAAGAAACATCAAGGCATTTTTAACTTCAAACAGTTGTGTCCGGCTAAAAGTCTGTAAACCATAATATTGCTTTCTTCAGTGACTAAACAAATATGTGGGTGGATTTTGATGAGGGGACAACAGGGGATGGACTTTTTCACTGGTAGAAGCATTGTTATGGATTATAGACTCATATTTTAGCCAGAAACAACGGTTTAAATTTTTGATTTTATGCAAACATGCAGCTTTCCACTTCATTAAAAGTTAACTGATGGACTGGAGTGGTGTGGATTACTTGTGGATTATTGTGATGTTTTTATCATCTGTTTGCACTCTCATTCTGACGGCACCCATTCACTGCAGAGGATCCATTGCTGAGCAAGTGATGTATTGCATTGCATTGCATTGCAATGTATTCTGATCATCCACTGCATGATCTTTGGTGGACATGCAATGCAAAAAAAAAAAAAAAACAGTTAGCAGATTATGTAATTTTAACCCATTTTCTTTATCACTTTCAAATAGTTTCTGTGTTATTTCTTCTAGCTGACAGCTGGCCAATGGTCTTGGATGACAGCAGTGCCCGTAGTGACTGGGGCTGGAAACACAACTATGGTTTGCCAGAGCTGGTTCAGACAATGCTCAACTTCACTGGCTCAGACTCCAGAAAGGCTCGAGCCAAGTAAACACCATATGCCATCATGTGTTTGAGTTTAGCCGAGATGTTTGGGACCTAATGGAATGTATGGTAATTGGGCTCTGCAGTATACTATGTAGCGTACTGAGATTAATGAAGGTCAACTTTCTGTAGCACGTATTTGCACACTTCTTCCTGGTAAAGTAAACCAAAGATTTACAGGGTTCAATTATATCCTTATTCTCCTCAATCAGCTTAATAATTTAATAGTCTTCCTGATTATATATTTGATATTATTTAAGCTTAAATTTGTTTTCTGGAATCTTTGTTCCATAGCAAGCAGTGTGAAATAATCTGCTTTTGTTTTTATCAGTGAATTTGCTAAACTATATTTTTCTTTTTATTTATTCTGCTAGAATAATTTCCACTACCTTTCAAAAGTTTGGGGTCAGAAAGATTTGTTTATTTTTGAAAGAAATTAATAGTTTTATTCAGCAAAGATGCTTTCAATTGATCAGAAGTAACAGTTAAGACATTTATAGTGTTACAAAAGATTTGTGTTTCAAATAAATGCTTTTCCATTGAACTTTCTATTCTTAAAAAAAAAAAAACTGAAAACAATTATTAATGTGTCCACAAAAATATAAAGCAGCACAACTGTTTTTTTTTATGCTGAAAATTCAGCTTTGCATCACAGTAATACATTACATTTTAAAAACTATTACAATAGAAAACAGTTATTTTACATCGTAATAACATTTCATCATTTTACTTTATCTCTGATCAAATAAATGCAGCCTTGGTGAGCAGAAGAGACTTCTTTCAGAAACATTAAACTCTTAGACTCTTTTGAATAGTAGTGTATATGAGATTTTGTGTGTGTAGAAGAAATGTAACGTAAATTATATAGAGGAAAATACATAATCGTTTGTGTTTCACAGAAGAAAGAAAGTCATACAGGTTTGAAATTCAGAACGGTCGACTGAAAGCGACGAACTGTCCCTTTAAGTTGTATAAAACAAGCTTGGTTTGATTTTGGCCTGAAGAAATTGCACAGAAACAATTTTAAAAGTAGTGAAGCATCACTGCCAAAATGTTCATATGCTTAATGAAATGCAGTCAATAAAACCAGAGCTGCTGCTGGTTTTCTGTGGCCACATTTTTAGGAATTTGTTTGGATGCGAGTGTGAATCTCCGAAATGTATTACTCCATTTGGTCAATATGAGTCAACTGGTTTTGTAGAAATCAACCGTATTAGCGCTAGTATAGATGTGGCCTCTACACACAGCACATACATATACATAAAGCTGGTATCAATCTTTAATTTCGATTAATATCTCAAAATAGAAATTTTATAGAACTGTATTTCAAATTCTCTTCTTCTTTGATTTTGTGGGAGTTGCCACACAGCTCTTTCCAGGTAAAACCGGTTGATTTGTAAGGTGTTTTTGTACTAGTTAAGACTTCTGGCTCAACAGATCCTCTGTGAGATGGACTTCTGTCATCACAGACTCCATTATAATTTCTCCCTGCGACTGTAGAAACCTGCACAGCAATTCTTCAACCACCTACAGTAGAGAATATGAGACAAAAATTTTATTCCCAATGAGTTTCATTAAGCATCGAAGCCTACAAAAGAGCCTAATGAAACATTAGTGTAATTAGTCACAATAAAACCCATTTGTTTGCTGTAGCTTATTTCCCATCAGACAAATATTCACATTGTTTTCCAGTGAGAGAATAGAGAGAAAACTGCTGGGTCTCAGAAGTAAAAATCCCATTTATTTTCTCCACAGAGAAATTGATTTTCGGCGATAGCATACAAACCTTTCGAGTCAGACCTACCCCGAGCTCTGAGGCTGTTAAGCGATGATATATGCTTCTGTAGAGGCCACAAGTCTTAGTCCAAGTGTTATTTAAACTAGAAAAAATAGTTCTGGAACCAAAGCTGTTGAAAAAGTGGCCGTTGCTGTTGTGCTCAACAGGATTAAATAACAGCGCTGTGTGTTCCTTTAATCCATCTTATCTGGTAACTGCTGACAGCCTGCATCTCCTTAAGATATTAAGGTGCTCCAGCTGTGAATGTCTTCAGTATGAGGGTGATAACCATAGGACGATACACAACAGAAATAATGCTTTGTTACTTGTGTCAGTATGAATTATTACAGCCTTCACATTTCACACTGTGCTACAAAATGGCAAAGTCTGCAAAATACAGTTTTTAGGTCAGTGCTGGTGACGGTTATGCATCAGAGCCGCTCGCCAATAGCTTGCAGATTAACTTTGATGGGTTTTGAAAAGGTAACAGTGTGCCAACAGCTACAGGGCAGCTTAGGATCACAATCCTGTTTTATATCAGCGCTGAACAGGAAACTCCATTGCAGGTTGCTGTCCAAATAATACACCTACCTTACATTTCTTCCTTTTGATAAACATGTCAATGAAATGTTGATAAAATACAATGTAAATTTATATTCTTCTTACAGATCATCAGTTTGAGGTCTTTACTAGGCAAGCATCACTATTTAATTTTCAAAGCAATAGATTTTTTTTTTTTTTTTGCCTGGTGGATGATAAAATGAGTGAAAACGTTCCTATAGACATAAATTGAAGGAATTTTTACATTTATATTTAGTCATTTAGCAGACGCTTTTATCCAAAGCGACTTAAAAATGAGGACAATAGAAGCAATCA